CGGGCCAAGTTCTCTTAGTCTAGGTTCACTCCAAGAAAAAGTACAAGGGATACCACCAGCTTTTCTGAAACCTTTAATTAAGAAAAGAGTTTTTGAAAATGACACGTTAAGGTTTTATGCTGAGATTTTTGGGCTTCCCTCTCCTGAAGTAAAGTGGTATTGTAATAAAAGTCTGCTTGAGGAAAGCTATAGAATCAAAATGGATAGAGATGGAAACAGTATCTCGCTGACAATCTCTAACATAACTAAGGCTGACCAAGGGGAGTATATCTGTGAGGCTATAAATTATGTTGGAGAGGCCAGGAGTGTGGCTTTAGTGGTAGTTGTATCCCAGGAAGTAAGATTTATGCCTGCCCCTCCTGCTGTCACACATCAACATGTGATGGAATTTGATGTGGAAGAAGATGACTCATCCCGATCACCTTCCCCACAAGAAATTCTCCTAGAAGTTGAATTGGATGAAAAAGATGTAAAGGAATTTGAAAAACAAGTAAAGATTATTACAATTCCTGAGTATACAGCTGACAACAAAAGCATGATTATTTCTTTGGATGTGTTGCCAAGTATTTATGAAGAAGGAGCAGTGGATTTTGTCACCCAGGAGCATGACGATCTGAAGATTGCTTTTGAAGTCACTGAAATGCCACCAAGATTTATCAATCCCATATGTGATATGGAAGCACACGAAGGCACAACTGTTATGTTCGAATGTTCTTTAATGGGAATTCCTTCTCCAATAGTCTCATGGTTTAAAGCTGACAAAAAAATCCCTCACAATAAAAAGTTTATATTGTCCTCAGATGGCGATAACCATTTCCTGAAAATTAGCAAAATCTCAAGTCAAGACAGTGGAGTGTATACTTGCAGGGCGATTAATGTTGTTGGTGAGACTCTTTGTAGAGCTTCTTTAGTTGTTTTAAGTGCTAAAGAATTTGCAGGCAAAACTAGAGGAAGGGAACTGACAGCTGTTTCTCTTGGTAGCGCAAAAGTCGAACCTCAGAAGTTTGATTTAATGGTTGGTAATACATCATTTGATGGTGAGCAGGTGTCAGAAATAGAGCTTGAATTTGAGTTTGAACATGAAGCAGATGAATCTCAGCGGGCAGTGAGGTTGGTGGCTAACACAGACAGCAAAGCAAGTGAACAGGGGGAAAAATATGTTAGCATAAATTTTGATGTATTTGCTGAACCAGCTAAAGATGAAAAGATTGAATTTAAAGGTAAATCTACTGACATGTGTAGTTTCCATTTTCAAATTACAGAAACATCTCCAAAATGTGTAATTCCATTAACAAATATCACAGCAGCAGTTGGCACTCCTGTTATTCTCCAGTGTCTGGTTAGTGGAAAACCAAGCCCCATTGCAGAATGGTACAAAGATGGACGACTAGTGACAGATTGTCGATGTATCATCCAAGAAAAAACGGCAGGCCATTTCAATTTGCTCATTACCAATGTGACCCAAAGTGATGCTGGGGAATACAGGTGTTTAATACAAAATTCTTCTGGAATTATTGAAACTACTGCACTTCTCAAGGTGTTTTAGAGTTGTTGGTCTTAGTCTTTGAGTTATTGTGTGTATAATTTAGACACACCCACTTGGTGTGATAATGATGAAAAATGTGAATCGCATGATTAGGATAACATATTGTATATATGATATATATTTTTAATAATAATATATATGTATGCATTCGTAGGATTTATTTTATTTTATCAATTGCAGTTATAAAAAGCATATTATTTAGTAATTACAGTCTAGCAGGGATGTTGTTTCAGCTTCTCCTGGAACCAGCCTCTCACAGCTTTATCTTGTTTACAAACACTATTTGCCGATAAAATGACATTGTCACACAATTTCCCACTGACCCCTCAAATATTTTCTGTGTGCATTCTGAAAAAAATTCAGCTCATTCTAAAAATAAAGACCCCGGAACCCGGTCCTGGGGGCCACATTTCTCTGTAGCCCCCGGACCCTCCCTAGCCGGTAACCTCATACTGATCTGTTGCTTACTTAAATTAATCTGTAGTCAAAACACAATAAAATCTTCTAACTTAATATGTGCTACTATGGCATTTTGCTAAATTGAATTACAAATTTGCAACATTTAAACAAACCTGGCCCTCTGCAATATGGCCATATCCTAATGTGCCCCCCCAAAGAAAATTATTACCTACCTCTGACTCACTCTTCTTTGTAGTGTTATACACAGCGCACACTGTTGTGTAGGCAGAGACAAAGGCAAAAGGCAGAAGAGCTGAAGCAGTAGACTTTGATTCAGAGAATTGTGAGTGATATACGTGATGGTGACAAAAAAAACATAATTACTCTAAAAGCAATGTTAAAGCAATAATATAACTACCCCTAATCGTCAATAATGCAAACAAGAAACAACATGAAAAATATTTTCCTGCCCAAGATACTTTAACTACCTTTCTATTATTTTTATGTTAATACAAACTTAACATTTAGTTTGAGATTTTTTTTTTATTGTTCAACTGTTTTTGTTTGTGTGTGAATGGAAATCATGAAGTTGTGAGATGTTAAAACGACAAATGCTGAGTTTTAATATTAAATTCAAGAATACAAAAAATATTTTAACCTGTAAATACATGTAAACTTTGAATGGTGTTTGTAATTTAATTGAGGAAAAAGTATAGCGTAGAATCTCATGGGTCATTTGTACAGAGCTCATCTCTTTCCTTTTTTTTAAAAAATAAAGAGCAAAATGCTTACTTAATTTGTCTTGTTTCATTATCTTATTGCTTCTTTAACTAACTCACAAAAGTCATTTGATATTGATTCATGATTATAGATGTTCATATAATTTTTTTTAGGATCCTTTCTGATACTTGGGTCCAATAGGTGGCGCCGATATAAAGCGACAAATTTTGCTAATGCAGCTGACAATGTGACAATGAAAAACAAAATTTAAAACGTATTTAATAATAGGCGAGATAATCCAAGATTAAAGAGGCAACACACATGTATTATCCGTGTTTTTAGCATCAGTTTGAGTGTTTGCCACGAACTGTAAATAGCGACAGCTCAGGAAAAAAAGGTGCCATATGGGAGCTTTTTCCAATTCCATATAATGAATATGACCATCCAAAGCCCCGATGGTCCAAGATGGTGGCCTTTTCAAATCAATGGTTTGTGCTCAGTGGCGCATGGCCCACCATGGGCACCGAAAAATTTGTCATAAGCTAGTAATACCCTACAATTTAGGAAAAGGAGGTACACACCCTTATGATCACTAAGGTTACCACTCAATATGAATAAAGGATCTCTTAATCTTAATCCAATTTTTATAATAGATCTATGGACCATCCACATACATACTTGCAAGTGTCAAAACCTGATTTTGTGTTACCACATTTTTATATTGATTAGAGGTGCAACGGTTCATCACTGATCCGTGATCCGTTCGGTTCAACGTCTTCGGTTCGGTACAGACGTGATCCGCGGTTTGATTTATGAAAAAAAAGTTGTGCGCACGTTGTTCAGTCCACACACAGCGCGGTCATTGCGAGCGGAGGAACGGAGATGCTTAAAAGCCCCGCGTCATTTAAATCCCCAGTATGAGAGCATTTTGGCTTCACTGTAACTACACTGATAATTAATATTCGACAAAACTGTCACGATGTGTAAGCACTGTGGCACAAGAAAGACATGAGTGAAAAAAGCGTCTCAACGACCACCTATTGCCGCGGCATTTAAGCAGCTCCTTTACGCACAGTCAGACCGGGCTAAAGTCAACTCTCCCGCGCATCCTCAGCTGCGCTCACGACTGACGCTTGGAAGTCCCGCGGAACCTATAATAGATCCATGAGCGGCACCGCTCAGTTCATCACCGCAGACTGGGAGATGAGAAGTCTGGCGCTGCAGACACGCCCCCTCTACGACAGTCACACCGTCACACAGCGCAGGTACTGACACAGCAGCGGAGGAATGGAAGACAAAGGCCCAGTACTAATATCCCAGTCACAACTGATAATGCCAAAAATTAAATAAATGCAGTGAATGAGGCTGGGCCCAGAATGGACCCCCTCCTTGGGAGAATCAGGAAGGTGGTTTAATATATGAGGGTAAATATCCTCATAAAGTGCCTTCTTATGTTGCACTTTGTGTTGTTTTTCATTAATTATGTTAAATAGACATAATTGGATGGATGGAATATGCCTTCCATCCATCCATCCATTTCCTTCCCCTTAATTCATTTCTAGGGCAGGTGGGGGCAGTCAGAGCAGGTGCCGAGTCCACATGAGCTGTGTTTATTAAAAAGACACCACTTTTTTTTAGAAAAATGAACCGAAAAATGAACCGAACCGTGGCCTCTGAACCGAGGTACGAACCGAACCGTGATTTTTTCAAACCGTTGCACCCCTAATATTGATGTATGTGTTTTTATTCCCTCACAGAAACCTGTTTCAGATCTGTTTTCTGTTTTCCGGAATATTGTCAACAATGTGACTCAATATTTCCCCACAGAAATTTCTAGCACCACTGTCACCACTGTGGAGGAGGAAACCTACAGCACTGCTGTCCAGTTACCACAGAAAACCAAAACACTTGAGCTCAAGCCAGAGTCAAAACACTACTCTTCCACTTTAGAGAAGAAAAAAGAAAAGCCAGTTTTCCTTACTCAGCTTGCTCCAGCAGTTTTATTGAGCGGTGAAACAGCTACATTCACAGTACATATTTCAGGCATTCCTAAACCAACTGTTCAGTGGTTTCATAAGGGTAAACTCATAAAGCGCTCTTCCGTATATAAGATAATTGAGGAAAAGGAGATACACACCCTTATAATCACTAAGGTTACCACTCAATATGAAGGGGAATACTCATGCACTGCGACTAACAGATTTGGTGTGACAACTTGTACCACATATCTTGAAGTAAAAAAGCCAGATGTGAGCCAGGCAGAGAAATGGGTGGAGAAAATGTTTAAGGTCACTGGTCAGCCCCCTACTTTCAATGTAGAGATCCTCCCTGTGAGATGTTCCGAGGGTGGAGAGGTGACGTTTAATTACAAAACAACTGCTGACCCTTATCCTGATATAAAATGGTTCAAAGGTGCTTACCAAATCAAGCCTAGTCAGAATTGTATTATCAGTGGCAACCGTGATGGATCTGGCTCCATGAATTTGAAAAATGTAAAGCAAGAAGACAGTGGTTTGTATTCTTGCAACGCTTCAAATCAATTTGGTGAAGCTACTTGTAGTGCTGAACTAGTGGTATTTAAGGAATCCCACAGACAGGAGAAGCATACTGTTGTCCAAAAGAAAGGCTACAAGGTTTCAGTGACGGAGCAAGCCACAGAGTCGCGACTGTATCAAGTAACTTTGCCAGGCCAAGACAAAACAAGATCAGATCAGATGGTTTATACCATTGGCACTGAAGATCGACAGATAATTCCAAGCGAGCAGGTTAGCACATTGAGAGAGGTGGACATTTCAGCCGCCACAGTGCATCGTGAAAAGGTAACCCACCAGGCTGCAGTGTTACAAACACATGAATTAGAGGAAAGGGTTTCTGTCGCACCTACACATCCACCTGAAGCTTCAGCAGTTCCTGCAAAACAGCTTCACATGGCAGCTTTTACATCATCAATTGAAGAAAGTCAAGGCCTTATTGAGCAGCACTGTGATCGTATTCAAAGCCCTGAAGTAATTGAGCTACAGTCTGCTCGGGAAAAAAAGTCAAAGGTGATGTCAGCTGTAGCAGAGGAGTTAATTCCACTGTCCACTGTTAGTACAGAACCTTTAGCTGACAGAAAACCAACCCAAATAAAGCCTTCTGCTGAACCACAATTTCTTGTTAGCGGACATCAGGTTGAATCTCAGTTATCTATGCTGAAGGAACAATCACAGGAAATGCCAGAATCGCAAGAGCAGAAGGGTTATAAGGTAAAGGAGGGTGTAAAGATATTGTATTCAGCTCAATCTTCAGAGAAATGTGTCCTTGCTGAAGGCCACACAGTTGAGATTGCAAAATCAGATTCAGTGCTTAAGTCCACTGTTAGCAAAGAAAAGCACAAGCCAGTCTTGGCTTCAGTCAATGAATCCAAACATACTCTTCACAAGGAAAGCAATCTCTCGCTGGAAAGATCTCCTGAAGAATTGGCATCATTTTGTCAGGATAAGATGACGAAAGTAGCGCTTAATACTGAAGAAAAGCAAATATTTCAATCTGAGCCCACAAGACAGCTTCCAAGTTTAGAGAGTGCAAAGACTATTAAGCCACAAATTGAAGGAGAGCAGATCTTACACTTACAGGTTGTAACAGATCAGGACCTTCTTCCTTCAGAGAAAGCATTTTCTAGTGAGAAACCTGAAACTGAACAGGTGGAAAGCAGAAAAAGCCCCACTTTGCTTCATACTGTCAGCCAGGATGAGCAAACTACTGTCATGTGTGAGGATTCTGTAGCGTTTGAGGCAAAACCAAACACTTTGACCATTCATCCTCAAAAAGAAGCTCCCACTCGCTTACATCTCCAGTCCACACAGCCTGTAGAGATGCTCCAGAAAGAAGGATTGCTTACAGTTGAGAAACCAGAGCAGCAGGTAGCAGCACAAAAGAAAGAGCATGCCAAGAAACATGCAGCTACCTTTGAGGAAAAACGACAGCTTATTGCTGATTTTCATACTGACCTAGATGTTTCTGTTTCTGGCTTTCAGTCCCAACTTAAAACTGAACCAAAACCCCAACAGATCCTTCAGCTTTCTTACCAACCCATGCAGTTGCCTAAAGAAGTGCCACTTAATACTGATATCAAACAACAACGGGCTTTAGTACAGAAAGAGGATCGTTGGAATGTCATACATCTGACAAGTGTTGCAGATTGCCAAACCTTGGAGGAGGGTCACACTGAAGGCCTAACTGATGTAGATAAATGTACCTCTCAGATGGCTGTGGAACCAAAAGTTCCCACTGTGCCTCTTCAAATTGAAGAGAAAGAGATCTCTACTGAGAATACTTTCCTCCTTGAGGCAGCTGAACAGGACTTTGCAGTACAAATTCAGGAAGGTCAGTCGGTAAGGCAATCTATAATAATGGATGAGAAGAGAGTGCTTACCAGTGAAGTCTCTCAAGAGGTCACCAAGGCAGAGTCATCCAAAGTGGCAGTTACCACCCAACCCAAGCATACAGTTATGGCTCCCGAGTCTAAAGAAACCACAACTCTACCAAAAGAGATGACCTTTGTGATACAGATCCCAAAGCCGTCCAGTCTCAATATAAGATGTCAGCTTAGGGACTCACTTCAGTCTGCAGTAGCCTGTGACCAACCTGTGTTATTGGCTGATGTTGTTGAAAAGTTACAGGCAGTAGAAGTTCAGGAAGTCAAGGTTCAGAGAGAGCCAAAGCGGGCTATGTTTACCTACCTAGTCACAACTACAGGCTCACCAATGGAAATAACGCTTGCATTTGAAGGTGAATATCCCCAAACGGCTGATCTCAAGACTGAACTAGAGGCAGCATTTCATTCAATTCTTTACCAAGAAGCAAGTGCTCTTACTTTACCACAGCCAGGAATTATGCAGTTGGACAAACCTCAACGAGCAGAGGCTGTGACGGCTCATAGCAAACAGTTGCTATCAACAATGGTTGAAACAATAAATGTTGCAGAGAGCGCTGTTGGTTTCTCTGCTGTTAAATCACAGGCTGCTGCACTGAGGACAGAATCCAAGGAGAGTACTGAATGTGTTGCATTTAAACATGTAGTGGTTCAAGAATCATCTGAACTTAATGCCTCACAAGTAAAAGTAACTTCTCAACAGTCTGCACAGGTGTCCCACAAAGAAGTGAGGTCTGTAACAGTTGAGAGTAAAGAGACAGTTAAGGTTGGGCTAAAGAAAGAATCATTTAAAGAGGAAAAAAGTATATCCCGACCAGAACAAAGACAATACCCTGAAATAGTAACCACTTTGGAAGACTTATCTATTGATGAAGAAAGTAAAGTGACTTTTACTGCTACAATTAAGTATGTTACTAAGGTCAACTGGTTTTTCAATGGACAATTGGTCAAGTCTGGTAAAGAGTTCAAGTGTTCCAAAGACAATGATACATACATATTGCTTATCAGCAAAGTTATAAAGGAGAAGCATCAAGGAGAATATGTCTGTGAGGCTGAAAATGAAGCCGGCAAGATCACAACATCTTCAAGACTGACAGTGATCTCAAGAGGTTGGGAAATAAAAAATTGAATTCATCATCAGTTCATTCATCCCACAAAAAACAACTAATTCACAAAAAATGTACAATATACTAATTTTCACTTTTCTTTGACTTTCTTGTTTCATTGCATGAGCACTATTTTCCAGATACCCGATGACACCAGTGTACTGTGTTTTGTCTGATCCACAGATTCACCAAACATTCCCATACACAGAACATATTTTCTCTAAAAAGCCTGTTAAAAGTACATAACATAAAAGCATAACATTAGTGAGTTGTGTTTGTGTAAAAAAAGTAGAAATGCAGTACATCGATGGAAATAACCATTGTTTTTGTATAACATTTAGACCGTGTACATTTAATATATTTTTGGAAACAAAACAAAAATCCTGGCCTGCTCTTTGTCTTTATAGATTTACTGTAGTATTATTGCCACACATGCATGCTGTCATGCTTTAAACCTTTCATTACAGTTACCTCCATAATTCATTTTCTTCTTTTCTTCTAGCTTGACCTCCCCATTTCTTAGAACTTTCTACAACTTTTTCTTCCACAGCCACTGTTTGTTTTCAATCATTAAACATTCCATTCATGTTTGTTAAACCAAAGTTCAATTAAAATAAATGAATTAATTTTTGTTCTGTTTTATTCCTTGTGTGTGCCACAGCTCCACCAGTTTTTAGGCAGAAAATCACCCCACTGGAGATAAACGTTGGCAGTCAAGCTAAGTTTGAATGTGAAATTGAAGATGCAGCCGATGTGACCTTCAAGTGGTATCGATCTGAAGTTGAGATCAAACAAAGTGAGAAGTACAGGATTCTCAGTCGCCACACCAGTTCCTCTCTGGAGATTCTGACTCCTGCCAAGATTGACAGTGGTGAATACTCCTGCAAAGCTTCAAATAAACACGGCTCTGCAAGCTGCCAAGCCAGCCTTGTTGTTACAGGTAAGCTTCCGGTGTGAAATGTGGTTGTTTGAGAAAGAGGATTTTATATTTGCTCTGTGCTTCACCATGATTCAGTGAAATGCAATGTGGTAGTAATTTATTAATGAGCTGGATCTGGTGTCATTATGGCAAATATAATGTGGTGTTTTTGAAAATTATTTAATTAAAATTGCATTGAATATTTTGTTTTGCCTGCTCTCCATAGAAATGTATCCTCCAGTATTTGTATCAAAACCTGAACCAATGACTTTGTTTGTGGGAAAACAAGCATTGTTCCAGTGTTCACTAACTGGCACTCTCCCCATGGAGGTTATTTGGCACAAGGACAACATAGCTATTTCTTCCCAAGAGAAATATGTCATGAAATGTGAAAAGAACAAGTATTCTCTTCTTGTAAAAAGCCTTCAAGTGGCTGACCAAGGACTATACCTTTGCAAGGCCTCTAACAGCGTTGGCACTGCTACTGCCACCGCTCACCTCCAGGTGATTAACAAGCCAAGCTTTATTACGTCGGTTAAAGCTGCTTCACTGGCTGTTAATGACTTGGTAAGGCTCGAGTGCCAGGTGGACGAGGACACTGGTGTCACAGTCACCTGGACCAGGGATGGAAAAAAAGTCCATCAGAGCATGGATTGTAAGCTATCCTTTGAAGACAAGGTGGCTGTTCTTGAGATACCCAAGTCTAAAATTAAGGATTCTGGGAAATATGTATGCACAGCCACCAATGAGGCTGGCAGCTCAGCCTGTGAGGCTATAGTAACAGTTCAAGGTAAGATCTTGCCGGTCTGCCCATTGGTTTTAACTGATGGTTAACTGATGGTATTGATGGTGTTTGCATACATGTTTTTAGCCAACTTACAATCTCTGCTTATCTTCTGCTCTGTGTGCGTTCTGTCAATGTGATGTTTTGTTTTAGTATGTCTTATTTCTGTGGTGTTGAATACTTTCAGAGCCACCTACTTTTACAAAAAAAATGGATCCAAAGTTGACGTGGAAACAAGGTATAACTGCACGCTTACAGTGTACCGTGAAAGGATCCCCTGAGCTCCATATCCACTGGTTTTGGAATGAGACAGAGCTAACCGATGGAGAAAAGTATAAAATGTCCTTGAAGTCTGAAGTGGCCACTTTAGAGTTTCTTAATCTTCTGGTTGGTGACAGTGGGAGATACACTTGCGAGGTGTCAAATAATGCTGGCACTGAGAGCTGTAGCACAGTTGTATATGTTAAAGGTACGTCAAAAAAATAAGTTAACAGTTAACTCAACGCTTTAGAACTAATAGTATTTGGATTTGTTATATATTAAACAATTCTACATTTCTTTTTATACAGAGCCACCAACTATTAAAAAGGATCTGCAAACTGTAGAGACAGTTAAGGGCAGTTCTGCTCAGATACATTGTGAAATTGCCGGAACAGGTCCCTTTGAGATTCAATGGCTAAAAAACAAAAAAATCATTGGTAGTGATAATAAATATACAATGATTTCTGAAGATAATTTGTTAAGGCTAGAGATTCAGACCTTTGAAAGTGCAGATGTTGGAGATTACCAATGCATTATTTCTAATGATGTTGGGAAAGTCACAACTAAAGGAATAGTAAAGCTCAAAGGTTTGTAATGAGAAAAAAAGATGGAAGCATTTTAAGCTACAGTATTAGTCATAGATTTAACAGTTTACTTTTTTTTTAGAACCTCCAACTTTTATAAAGAGACTTGAAAGTGCAACAGCTGTTCTGGGAAATTCAGTTAAATTACAAGGAACACTAAAGGGCTCAGCTCCCTTGACAGTAAAATGGATGAAAGACTCAGAAATTCTCAGAGATGAGGATCCTAATGTCAAGATGGTGTTTGAGAACAATGTTGCAAGCTTGTCAATTACAACAGTTACCATTGTCCATGCGGGAAAGTATCTGTGTCAAGCTGAAAATGAGGCTGGTCAAAGTAAATGTGAAGCTACCGTGACAGTGCAAGGTTTGAGTCTTCTTGTTTGCAAAATAAGTTTTGTAGCTGGCTTGATACTCTTTTTTCAATAAATCTCTTTTTTGCCTCAGAACCAGCCAGAATATTAGAACCTGCCGAGTCCATCAGTGTGACAGCAGGCGATTCAGCCACATTGGAGTGCACGATTTCAGGAAGCCCTGAACTCAAAGAGAAATGGTTTAAAGATGGAAAGGAGATGATAAGTGGTCGTAAATATAAGATGACCCTAAAGGACAATGTTGCCACCATGAAGATTATGGCTGCAGATAAAGGAGACACCTCAGAATACAAAATGGAGGTGTCTAATAAAGTTGGAAAAGACCAGTGCACATGCTCCGTCACTGTGTTAGGTTAGAATACTTTTCTAACATTAATCTTATTTAGAAAGTCAAACATAACATACATTATGTGATAGTATTCTTATGTTTAGCATGTAAATTTTGATGCATTTAATTTTGTAACAACCCAGATCGGATTATGTCGCCAAGTTTTCCCAAGTGTCTTAAAAGAATTGATTCAAACATTGGGAGCAACATTGCAATGGATTGCAAAGTTGCTGGCTCTCAGCCCATGACTGTATCCTGGTTTAAAGATGAGAAGGAAATTGTGCCTGGTTCAAAGTTCCAGTGTGAATTTGAGGAGAGCATAGCTACACTCAGAATTGTCAATTTGGAAAAGTGTGACTCTGGAGTGTACAAATGTAAAGCCACAAACTCGGCTGGCTCTAAGGAAACCAGTGGCACACTTTATGTCAAAGGTTTTTTTTACATTTCATTAACATTCTGTTCTAATGTTAACAAAATATGCTAATCATTTTTATATTACACCCAGAACCTCCGATGTTCACTACAAAACCAGAAAACCAAGATGTCATTCCCGGAAACACAATTTCACTCAAAACCGTTTTCACAGGAACAGCCCCACTGGCTGTAAAGTGGTTCAAAGAGGAAAAGGAGATTGTAACCGGTGGCTCATATTTTATAAAGAAAGATACCACCTCCAGTTCTTTGGAGATTTCCTCAGTTAAACCAATTGACTCAGCCAAGTACACATGCCAAGTCTCCAATGATGCTGGAAAGGTGGACTGCACTGCAGTACTTTTTGTGAAAGGTGCTTGTATACCAGATCTGAACATAACGTGTCATTCATGCAGCATGATGTACTAACTTGATGTCTTCACCATCTAAAATCTTGACCTCTTTCTCAGAACCTCCTGTATTTACAAGGAAGCTTGAAACAACGAAACTTATAACTAGTGGAAGCTCCACCAAGCTGGAGTGCAAGGTGACAGGCAGCCCTGTGATTAGTTATAGATGGTTAAAAGATGAAATAGAGATCAACTCTGGACCCAAATGCTTAATAACAATGAGCAAGTTTGGGACTTTTTTGGAACTTATTGACTGCAAAGTGGAGGACAGTGGAGAATTCTTTTGTGTGGCCACTAATGATGCTGGTAGTGACCGCACTAGCTGCACAGTCACTGTGAAAGGTCAGTTTGGTGCAATTGACATACACAGTTGCATACATACTAACTGTTAGCTATAATAATCGTCTTACTATGCTTCTTATAGAGCCACCTGTCTTCATTCGTAGTTTGGAGCCAAAAGATATAGTAAAAGGATCTGAGATGTTGCTGGAGGGACAAGTCTCTGGTTCAGACCCTTTAACTGTGTGCTTTTTTAAGAATTCAAAGCCGGTTAGAAATGACAAGAAACATAGGATTACAGTCAAGGATGGCCTGGTAGCTCTGCAGGTACTTGGTGTAGAAACAGGGGATGTTGGCTCCTACCAATGTACAGTTGAGAATGAAGTTGGAAAAGATTCATGTGGTTGCCAAGTGACTCTCAAAGGTGGGTTTGTAATTTGAGGCTTAACAGCAAAAGTATTCTACCTAACAAAAAAATTGCTGCAATAGATGATATAGAACGTGGTTAAAATGTAATTTAATTTGTATTGCAGAACCACCGACCTTTGTCCAAAAACTGGAAAATCTCAGCTCTTTAGTTGGTAGTGAGGTATCTCTTCAGTGCTCTCTGAAGGGTTCTGAACCCATTACTTTGACCTGGCTTAAAGATAACCACGAATTGAAGGAGTCTGAAAACATGCATATTACATTTGAGAATGGGATTGCTATATTGCATATCACCAATCTTCAGAACCAGCATGAAGGAAAATTCTCTTGTCAAGCACAGAATCAGGCGGGAATTCAGACATGCTCTGCAGTGTTGACTGTAAAAGGTTTGTTATATTTCACTTTTCTCTCTGCTGCCTGGACAGTGGTTTGAACTTGAATTGGCTACTGTACTTCAATTCCAGTGCCGGCAAAGATTACAGAGGAAGCAAAGTCCATCAGTGTGACTCAGGGAGATCCAGCTACACTTGAGGTCCGATTCATTGGCACAAAGCCTTTGAAGGCACGCTGGCAGAAGTCAGAGAAGGAGGTGACCTCAGGAGCAAGACACAAATTTCACCACACAGACACCACCTCTGTTCTGAAGATCATGAAAACAGAGAAGGGTGATGGTGGAGAATATAGTTTTGAGGTTTCAAATGATGCAGGAAAAAGCTGGTGTGAAGCCACTTTAAATATTCTCGGTCAGTGTTGATTTTTTTTGTTGCCATTCTTCAAATGTGTATCATCCAAACACTTTTCTTTCCTACTGAAGCTTTTCTTTTTCCCTAATGTTAGATCAAATTATCCCACCATCATTTACAAGAAAATTGAAGCAGATTGAAGGTATCAAAGGATCCTTTGCTCATTTGGAGTGCCTCGTCTCTGGGTCTCTGCCCATTACCATACAGTGGTACAAAGATGATAGTGAAGTCAAATCAGGCGGAAGACATAAAAGCACATTCTTTGAAAATGTGGCCTTCCTAGAAATCTCTGATCTTGACTCTAAAGACTGTGGGAACTACACCTGCATTGCTAAGAACAAAGCTGGAACTGATCAATGCTCATGTAGCTTGTTTGTTAAAGGTTTGTACATATATTTGATTTAAAGTAAATCATCTTTTTGGATTCTTATTATCTTATTTTCTCACAGAACCCCCTGTAATCCTTGAAAAGCCAGAATCTCTTGATGTTTTGCCTGGTTCTAAAGTTAAATTTAATATCCTTGTTTCTGGAACACCACCTTTAACCATCAAGTGGTTTAAAAATAACAAAGAGATTGTCTCCACTCCTGACTGCTCTGTAGTGAAGGACAATACATCCAGTTCAGTGGAGCTCTTTTTTTCAAAAACATCAGATTCTGGAGAGTATATCTGTGAAGTACAGAATGATGTTGGATCAACATCCTGCCAAGCAACTCTGTTTGTTAAAGGTCTCTACCCAAAACCTATATTTCATTATTATCAGTTTTTAAAATGTTTGCATATAGACCAGTTCTTATTATTTTGTATTGTTCTTCAGAGCCCCCAAAATTCACACGTACACCAGCTCGCTTGTCTGTTGTCCGGCCTGGCCAAACTAAAATGTTTGAGGGTCAGGTGACTGGCACACCTGAAATTGACATCTACTGGTTCAAAGAGGGCACTGAAATCAGCCAAAGTAATAAACACAAGTTGGCCTATGTCAACTCTGTTGCCACTTTGGAGATATGTGGCACTGATGTTAAAGACAGTGGTCTATACTACTGTGAGGCGCGTAATGAGGCAGGAAGTGAGAGCTGCAGTATGGAGCTCAGAGTTAAAGGTTAGTCATTAAAAGTCTGAGCATGTAAATACTAGAGTTGACTACTGTATATGCAATTCTGTATAGTTGTTATAGATGTATAATTGTCTTTATGTCTCTCTTGTCTCAGAACCTCCCAGTTTTATCAAGGAGTTGTTCCCAGTTGATGTTGTGAAAGGGGCTACTGCGGGTTTCCAATGCCAGGTTGCTGGAACACCTCCTTTTCAGGTTATATGGCACAAAGATATGAAGGAGATGAAACCAAGTTCTAAACATTGCTTTGCTTTAGCAAATGATGCAATGGGTTTAGAAGTGCACAAATGTGAATCTGTAGATGTGGGTGAATACCAGTGCACCATTTCTAACGAAGTGGGGAGCTGTACTTGTAAAACTATACTTAAACTCAAAGGTTTGTGTAAGAACCCAAATATAATGCATAGTTTTTATATATATTGCTGTTTATTCTTTTCGTTTTAAATGATTTTCTAGAACCACCCAAATTTACCAAAACAATTGAGAATACAACAACTGTCCTGGGTAAAATGGCACAGTTTCAGTGTACCATAGCTGGTTCTCCTACACTTTCTATTCAATGGCAAAAAGATGAAAACTGGATTTTGGACGACCCAGAAATGGAGAGGATTTTTGAGAACAATGTGGCCACTCTGAGAATAGCCGCGTGTGAAGCAAGACATAGTGGGAGGTACACCTGTCAAGTGACGAATGATGCTGGCCAAAATAAGTGTTTTGCAAGTCTATCTGTGCAAGGTATGGCTGAGAAAATTAGCTGTTTTTTAGTAAGTGATCTTAAGTTTGTTGTTTTACATTTGGGTTTTTTTGTAATGTAATTTTTAGAGCCACCTAAAATCACAGAGAAACCCGAGGTGATAAAGGTGACGGTGGGAGATCCAGTCAGTATGGACTGTAAGGTGGAAGGTTCCCCTGAACTTAAAGTCAAATGGATGAAAGATGGAAAGGAGCTCCAGTCAATTAGGCAGCATAAAATTCGTTTTGAAAACAGCATTAGCAGCCTCAAAGTCCTATCGGCTCAGAAAGAGGACCAAGGAGAATATGTTTTTGAAGTAGCCAACCATATCAGCAGCAGCACATGTAAAATCCAAGTGATTGTTCTAGGTAATGTAAATATATATATATATATATATATTTTTTTTTTTATCTTTTTTGGAGCTTATTGAGTGATCTTTGAATTTCTTTTTAATAGATCAAGTAATCCCGCCAAGCTTCATAAAACCTCTTGCAGACATGCAGGAGATTTTAGGCTCTTTTGTGCAGATATGTTGCAAGATATCTGGTTCCCTCCCCATTTCAGTGGAATGGCAAAAAGATGGAAGCACTATCACAAGTGGTATCAAATATAAACTCATTCAACAGGACAATTCTGTTTCTGTTGAAATTGAGCTGCTAGAAAAGCAGGACTCAGGATCCTACACCTGCAAACTGAGCAATGCTGCAGGAAGTTGTCAGTGCAGTGGCTCTCTTACAGTCAAAGGTTAGAGTTGGTCAATAAATTCAATGTTTTCATCTGAATATGTAGACAATCTTGACAGATAAAGGTGAGTATATCTTTAACTTCACCCATCTTGTCTTCAGAGCCTCCAAGCTTTGTAACGCCAATTGAATCGCAAACGGCACTGCCCAACGCAAACGTTCGCTGCAAAGGAGTTTTTAAAGGAACACCCCCTTTCACAGTCAAATGGTTCAAGGACGACAAAGAGCTCATAACTGGACCCTCTTGTTTTACTGGCCTGGAGGGCCTCTCTTGTTTCTTAGAGCTCTATTCTGTGGGGGTCTCCCAGAGTGGAGTTTACTCTTGCCAAGTGAACAACGATGCTGGCTCGGCACGCTGTAGTGCAGAACTGAATGTTAAAGGTTGGATAAGCATTCACCAACAAATCATTCTTGCTTTTCCTTTTTCATTTGCTTCATTCACCAAAGTTTTATTGTCAGTATTGGACTCATGGCTACACTGTCTTTGGTGTTAACACATTGTCTTCCCATTATTGCCATCTCATTTGCTTCTAACAATAAACCTCTTGTGTGTCCTGTCTTGTCGCTATTGGCTTCTAATTTATGTGTACTTTCGTTTTCCAGAACCACCTGAGTTTATGCTGAAACTCCCTGCCAATAAATGCGTGAAGCAGGGTGACTCACTCCGTCTAGAGTGTAAAGTGAAGGGCACAGAACCCCTTTGTGTGACCTGGTTCAAGCATGACACCAGGCTCACGGATGGGGGAAACTACCAGACATCGTTTGCCAACTCGGTGGCAGTGCTTGAAATTGTTGCGGTAAACTTTGATGATGACGGAGTTTACACATGTGAAGTGCAGAACGATGCTGGCAGTGTGAGCTGCAGCACCACTCTAATGGTTAAAGGTCAGCTTAATCTAAAGCCTTACTCTCAGATGCTATAAGCCTGTGAACAGCAAGCTGACATCCATAACAAAACTACTCAATAGCTCAACCCTGTAACTTCACCTTTACCATCTATTTCAGTATGAATCAGTGTAAAATGGCCAGCAGCACAAATACGTACTCTGAAATGCATACTTTTTCTTCCACAAAACTTACTTACTTACTATTTTTACTTCAAATCATTCGGCCAATAATCCCCATGTCATTATTGAATACGTCTCTGTATACTTCCAAACTACCATTTTAGTTTCAAAGTTTCAATTATGAGTTGTACTTTAGATATACAAATATATATTTTTGTGTTAGTAAATGTGTGTTAATAGTAATATTATTCCCCATCGAGTATGTTTTCATTCAGTTCATTAAAGACAATCCTGCCTATCAACTGAAACTCATCAACCCAAGTCACAAAATGCAGTTTACTGACGATTTCTTGGTCAAATTATAAAACGTAATAGTAGTTCAAAGTTGAAAGCAACATGCTTTCTAATTATTATTAAATTAAAGTGGAAATTTTGTTCCAAACTAGTTTATTATTTTGTATTTATAGCATTATAGCAATAATAACAACCAACCATTTCAGTGAGGAAATAATTGCTGACTGCTAAACTTGCTGAGACATGACTAATATTTACGTAAAAACATTGTATTTCAAAATAAATAGTACATTTTTTTAAATTCATAATTAGATTGAAGTATCTACACCAGAATTGGAAGCTTACCCACTATTTGAATGAAAATATAGGTTTTAACAGTGTGAGAAACACTATTATATTCATATTCAACCCATTATTGTATATGCACAGTAATATTAATAATTATGGGTGTCAGTTTGAAAATGTCACTTTTAGTTTGTGCCCATCTCTATGTGCCTTAGTAACACTGTTGATCTTTCTGTAGAACCCCCTCATTTTGTGAAAGTGCCTCAGCCCCTTGAGGGCCTGAAGGCCAAGGATGTGAGTCTGTACTGTGAGCTGAGTGGTACAGCTCCATTCCAGATCTGCTGGTTCAAAGACAGGAAGCCTTTGATGGAGAGCAGGAAATACAAGATGCTGAGCGAGGGCAGCTCTGCCACTCTGCATGTGATTGGAATAGAGCCGTCAGACGTTGGCGAATATGAGTGCAAAGCATCCAATAGTGTAGGAAGTGACACCTGCCAGACATCAGTAAAACTTAGAGGTCAGTACAAAGTGTTGTACATCAGCTCATTAAATTACCTGCCACCTTGCTGATGTTGCCTTCTGCTCTCTTCAGAGCCACCTTCATTTGTGAAGAAACTGTCAAACACATCAGTGATACTGGGAGAAAAAGTGAGCCTAGTGGCCACAATAAAAGGCTCTGAGCCCATTATGGTGTCCTGGCTTCAGGACAAGGATGTTCTCAGGGACGGTGAAAACCAGAAAATAACTTTTGAGAACAACCAGGTCACTCTTACAGTGTATAAGGCCGATGAATCCACGGCTGGCAGATACACCTGTCAACTAAAAAATGATGCTGGGAGTGTGGAGTGTTTCGCTAACCTGACTGTCCTAGGTTTGTAACTGAATAATTCTCTCTCTCTTCCAGTTCTTCCCTTCTTTTGCAGGTCTAATGCAAACATGTCTGCTCCTTGTGTTGTCCACAGAACCAGCTAAGATAGTGGATAAGCCTGATGCACTGAGTGTCACGGCTGGCGATATAGCTGCCCTTGAGGTCAAAGTGTGTGGAACCCCTGAACTCAAACCTAAATGGTTTAAGGATGGTGTTGAGTTGGCCAGTGGCAGAAAATACAAAATTTCATTTTCTCGGATGATATCCTGCCTGAATGTGCTCTCTGCAGAGAAATTGGACTCTGGAGAATATACTTTTGAGGTTATGAATGAGGTTGGAAAGGACCTCAGTAAAATAAATCTCACTGTTTTAGGTTGGTCCCTTCTTTTTTCCCAGTTTGTTGACTAGGGCTGGGTATTATTTTACATGTTGACTTTTTAAATACAAAAATACATAATTTAAAAAGTGACATATTACACTGTCTACTAACTTCTTTAAATACTGTTGATCTTTTTTTAAGTGATCTAATTGTTTTGTGATACCCAGCTCTATGCCCAGTAGAGTAGTAAGTCTTCCCTCACTCTAGCCCCAACTAATTAATGTTTTTCTTCCCACACAGATAAGCTCATTCCTCCCACCTTTTCAAGGAAGTTGAAGGATTGTAACTTGGTGCTTGGAACAGCAGGAGAAACGGAGTGTAAAGTGTGCGGCTCCGCACCGCTAACAATTACTTGGTATCATGATGGGGAAGAGATTCAGAGTGGGCCAAACTATGAGATTTCATTCACTGACAACAACTGCGTCTTGAAAGTGCCCACTCTTAAGATGACTGACTCTGGGACGTACAAATGCAAAGCTGTCAACAAGGCTGGCTCCTGTGAGACCACTGCTACACTGGTGGTTAAAGGTATGTCCGGCGGCCGGGTGGAAGTATAGGGCTGTCAATCATTATTGTGCCATGCCATGAAGCTCAACAATCTGTTCTGGCTTTGGATTGAAATGTCCCCCAAAGATCCTCTTAGATCCTCTAATAATAAACGAGGCTACTGTTACTCACTTAAGCTTTATATAAGGATTTATAAAGATATGATAAAACGCAAATTACAATGCAAAGACAACAGGATTCATTCTGTTAGCTCTAATAGTTGGTTCATATATTTTATAATTGTTTTATATATTAAATTAATGTTTTTAAAGTGGTTTTTACAAGCGAGTTTTTCAAACTTGTAAGTATATTTATTGAATGAATTAAACTGATGAGTGTGGAAGAACAAAGCGAGCGGTCATTGTTGAGCTCCAGAAGGATTCTCTGATCTTCGTTGGCGAAGCAACGAAGATCAGAGAATCCTTTGACATAACTGCTGTTGTGATTTAGGGCTATGCAAGAATAGATTGAATTGTATTAAATCAAATTAATGCGGTTGTCAGTTGTACATTGTTGATCATCGGCATTGCTTTGTTTTATAATTTTGAGTCTCTTTGCTAAAAACCAACAAATGTATTAATCAAGAAGCAAACATGTAAATTAATTTTGTCCTTTTAAAAATATCCGTGTAACCAGGGCATACTCTATAAAGTTGGGGTGTTCTTCTGGATGGACTATTTTTAATATCGTATGCAGTTTAAACATTTGTGCTGCTTGGTCAGCAACTGCAGCGTGACATTCCATCAGAGCGCAGTGGGATGTTTTACTAGACTTCTAAAAGCTTTTCAACCACACACAAAAGTGAAATGTGCCATATTTTATTGGAAAAGTTGGTTTCGCAACATCTTACATCTTGAGAGATTTCTTGTAACTCATTTAAGATTGAGATAGTGTTTCTGAGCTCAGATTCATCCTCATAACCACCTCCCGATATAGAAGTGAAATCTCCTTGCCCCTCCCTTATACTTGAGGCCTTGAAATCTAATATGTTTGCATGTTTAATCTTTTTTTATATTTAGAGCCTCCTTCCTTCGTGGTGCCGCCCCAGCCAGTGGAAGCCATGCCCGGCTCCACTGTCACTTTCTCAGCCATGGTGAAGGGCAGCTCTCCCCTCAAACTGAAATGGTTTAGAGGAACAAAAGAGATTGTCCCCGGCCGGACCTGCAACTTTTACCTGAAGGACAGCCAGGCCCTTTTGGAGCTCTACAATGTGGACAAATCGCACAGTGGAGAATACACCTGCCAGATCAGCAATGAAGCAGGGTCTGAGAGCTGTCCAGTCAACCTCATGGTCAAAGGTCAGTCATGCAATACCCGGTCTTAAATGATATTAAAAGTGACTTAAGATATTTAAAGCAACCCTCCAGACAATTTGAATTACATTTTCAGCTAATTGAAATTAATTGGTTATATCTAATGGGTACTGCTTGATGAAATAGAGCTATGTACATTCTAATTTGTGCATTATATGGCTCAGTAAGCACTTTTGTGACTTATTTATATATTTTCACAATGATGTCTTTTGAAACTAAACTAACTTAACTAAGTGCATACTGAATGCATACAAATAAGTTTTACTTTGAACACAATGACACCATTCAATATCACATATATTTTAGTTCTCAATTATACTTTTATAATTACACTATCAAACCTAGAAGTCGTTATTTTCTATAATTCATCAACCATTTTCTTTCTAAATGTGAGGCCTTGTTGGAGTTGGTTGTTAGCATATAACTGGATATTGCTACTGAGTAAGCAAATATATTTCAGGGGTTGAGAACGTAAATGACGGAATGGACATTCCAGTAACTTAACAGGGGGTAAAAAAAAGTTCCACTTTGACCTGTCTGATGTTTATTTAAGTGATACATTTTCACCGACTTAAAAGAAAAACAAAAATTTTAAACAGCAAACAATATATATCCCTTTAGAAAGTAAATAATTTGATTTACAAATACTATATGTAAATTGTAACTTTGTAACTTTTTTTTATTCTATTGCATTTACTGTATAATTTCTTTGGGGACAGGAAATGAAGAAAGCACATTAGTTTAGTACCTCAGCTTCCCAGATATTATACTATTTGGAGTTTTATACATTTAATGAAAGGAACACTTGGCATGTTTACTTGTATAGCATAATTCTTACAAGGTAACTCAAAGTGCTTTACAAAACCGGAAAAGAATTATGAAGTACCAAATCTTTTCTCAATTCCGCAGAGCCTGCAGCCTTCGTGAAGCGGCTGAAGGATGTGTCTGTGGAGAAGGGCAAGCCTCTGTCCCTGGAGTGCACCTACTGCGGGACACCAAAGATAACCGTGAGCTGGTACAAAGACGGACAGCAGATCTTTGCCTCCTACAAATACAACATCACTACAACAGAGAGCTCATGCATCTTGGAGTGTCTCAGCACCGACGACAAGGAGGCTGCAGGCAAATACACCTGCGAAGTGTCCAACGACGCAGGAAAAGAAACATGCGACGCCAATGTGTCCATTCTTGGTGAGTTTACACTTTGATTCGTCTTCCATTCATATCTAAACCATGATGGGTACTAATAAGAGCTATTAGAGAGATACAAGAGCTCCTGAATCTACTTCTGAATACTTTCTATACAGCGACCTATCTTCCCACAAACGTTTCCCTAAATTTGTCATGTACTCATTTCTGAATTAGTCTTTAAGTTTCAGAACTCATGTTTTTATGTATTTCACATCAAATTTCTGAAAAAAAAAAAAACGTTGTTAAGTTTAAAGTGCTGTATTACCAAGCACAAGTTGTAGTACATTGACTAAACCAGCAGATGTCAGTGTTCATACATATTTAGTTCACTCAGAACTATTTACACTATACACCAAAAACTAACTTTTTTACAATTTAAACCAGTTATGTACATTACAATTTTAGGACAGTTTTTTTCCCGTTTGATTTTTTGTGCAGTTTGTTCAGTATGTAAGTCCTGACCGGGAACAACACATTGGCCCAGTCTGCACCAAAAGACATACACAGGAACCTTAAAATGCTTTTGTCTATCATTTAAAATAATACAAAATGAAAACTTTTACACATTAGAAGCTTCAAATGGTTGTTTTTAAATGTAAGATGTGTTTTCCCCAACAGTAGGTGAATTCCTCCTTTTGTAATAAGTATTTATGCATGTAAATATTAATCTTCTTCTTAATCTTCAGGATCTTTTTCCTGTTTTTTTGTTTTTTTGACACAACATTCTGCTGTACCTCTTCATACCACTAGAGGACAGTAAATATACTACAGATAGATACAGTAGATAGCTAGATAGATACTTTATTGACCCCCATAGAAGAACTTCACAGGTCCAGCAGCAGGAACACATCCATCCATACAAACATCGATGAATACATTGTTCTAAAACAATAGTAATTAAGTGTTTTACTCAGACAGATGTGTACGTCAGTCACCATTTACTCTTTTAACACATGTTTGTTAAATTGAAAATTGTAATTAGATTCATGTAAAAGACCTGCATGCTTTGGTCCGTGCAGAGCCACCATACTTTGTGGAGAGCCTGGAGCCCATGGAAGTGACGAGTGGAGATGCTGTGTGCCTGAAGTGCCAGGTTGCAGGAACACCAGACATCTCTGTGTCGTGGTTCAAGGCTGACGGCAAAGTGCGCTCCAGTCCCACTTGCAAACTGGACTTCTCCAAAGGTGTGGCCTGCCTCAAGCTGAGCAAGGCCACCAAGGCTGACATAGGGGAGTACACATGCAGAGCGGAGAACAAGATTGGAACTGCCTCCACCAGCTGCAAACTCAACGTGCTTGGTGGGTATTCAAGCGTGCATTTGTTTTCTATTCTTTTTAACAAACTGATGTCAAACTTAAATCAGTTAATATTGCTGTCCTGGTTTGAGTCAATAAAACATGTCTAGTTTGCTGGAATAGACAGCTTTATGAGTTATGTTTCTTGTTTCATCGTTCCCTCTTAGGTAGAGTTGTTCTTAGGTCTATCTTGGTTTTTGATAATATGTTCAAATATAATCCAATAATCCCAACAGTTAATATTTCTAATCTTTTCAAATATAAACAGAAATACAATGAACTATAATCCAATAATGTTCAGATATTAAAATGTATGTGGTTAGTTTCAATAAGATGAGAGAAGATTAGAGAAAGATAAACTTTATTCTGTGGGATCCAGTGCTACACAGATCTGCATAAATAGATACAAATAAAAACAAAAAGTAGAGTATGTAAACAGAAATCTAGAGTAGTGAAGTCTGTTTTGTCCATTTGCTTTTGTCCATTGCTTGTCCAAGACCAAGCAATTTTAACTGACTTAAGATACCTTGTTGTGTTGTTTCACGTTTATAATGTTGATTTCACGACGGTTATAACCCCATGCACAAATCCCTCTACAGAGGCAAAAACCCCTCCGTCATTCCCTAAAAAGATCACCAGCCTGCAGGAGACAGTGGGTCGCCCTGTCAGGTTTGAGTGCCGCGTGTCCGGCTCCTCCCCCATCGAAGTGTCTTGGATGAAGGACGGTGAAGCTCTAAAGCAGGAGGCAGGGTTGTCTATGTCGTACGACGATAACACGGCCGTACTTGAAATCAGCCGTGGGGAGATGAGGCACTGTGGAGAGTACACGTGTGTGGCCACCAACAGCGTGGGCACGGCCTCATGCAGAGCCAAACTCTCTCTGCAAGGTTGGTGCCAATACCTGAGCACATAACAAGAAAGCAGGTTGTCTTTGTTTATGGTCGGTGGGAATTTCACAGAAACCCTGGATAGCACAAAGTTCTCTCTGACTAATGATCACATACATGTAAAGACTAGTTGTTCAACTTGCTAAAAAAAAAAAGTTTACTGTGATTTCTCTCTCTCTCAGAGCTTATTGAAATGCTGCAGAAATTCTGCAGAAAACCTGCCATATTCTTGTATTTTCTTGAGTTAGTTCAGTTCTGTTTTCTCTTGAATGTGTGGCTAACTTTATATGTGTGTCGTGTCCCATTGCCTTTGTCTCCACCTCTTTATGACCTTTGCAGAACCACGCTACCCCCCAGTGTTCGACAGAAAATTGTTGCCCAAAGAGGCGACTGTGGGCGACAGCATTGAGCTGGAGTGCCACATGACCGGCTCTGCCCCCATTAAAGTCACATGGTCCAAGGATCATAAAGATATCCGCACTGGGGGCAACTATAAGATCAGCTTTGTGGATAACACTGCCTGCCTAACCATAGTGAAGGCGGATAAGGGCGACACTGGCAGATACTTTTGTCACGCTGCTAATGACATGGGGAAAGACTCTTGTACTGCTGAAATCGCTGTCCAAGGTATTTTTGTTATGTTACACGAGCTGATAAGTCATACGTTTGAGTTGAAACTAATCACAGCTATTCTGGATCCTGTGCTTATTATAAGTAACTAAAGATATTTTTTTCCTATGAGCAACACACTTCAGTGTTGTTCGCGGGCAAAAAAAACACTCATAAAGGCAACACATCAGATGAGTTAAGTCTAAACTTAAATAAATCAAAATGTTGAAAGTCCACACCATGACACAAATGTCCAAAGTCATTCATCCTGTGTGTGTGTTCGTCTTGTCCCACGCAGCCCCACTCTTGACGTCTTTTTCGGGGTGCCTCTTTACGTGTTTTTTCTTTTCCCTCTTAACTCAGAACGCAAAACACCTCCAATGTTCACCAAGAAGCCCTCGGAGAACATCGAGGACACTGAGGGTAAACTGGTGAAGATAGAGGGCCGTCTGACCGGCTCTCAGCCCATGTCGGTGAGCTGGTTCAAAGGCAGCCAGGAGATCTTCAGCTCAGACAAATACGACATCAGCTTTAAGAGTAGCGTGGCCGTGCTGTGCATAAAGAGCAGCCAAGTGAGCGACAGCGGCTCTTACTCGTGCCGCGCAGCCAACGAGGCCGGGAAGACCTCCTGTGATGTCACTGTGGGCATCGCCGGTGGGTTTCCGAGACATCTCACTAAACATGGGGAAAAGATTTAATGGAGTTATAGACCTTTTTTGGATAGCTTCCTCTAGTTTGTTCAGTTAAAGCTAAAACCTAATATATATAATATACAAATAATAATAACAAATTATCTAAACCAATCTCATAAAATATTTCAAATGTAGATAAAACACATATACACTAGTTGTAAAATCAAGATAGCATTTTATAAGCTTGAAATTAAAGGGTACTAAGTTACTTTATTTCCATACTAGACAATACCTCATGTTTTTTGTCAATCAAACAACACAACATATTTATCTTATTATCTTTATGTTATTAGAAAACTGTTTTTTACTTTTGAATACTAAGAAATAGCTTACTGAATAACTTGTTGACGCTTTGGGCTGAGAAAAAAATGTCATGTTTACGACTGTAAATATCTTGTATGTGCTATTGTTATATTGATTAAAATATCATCTTGAAATATGTAGCCACTAACAGGCTGAGGCACTATACATTTTCTTAGTAGATCTTAGTTTTCCACAAACGTTTTGACTCATACTTATGATGAATCTGCCCATTCGTCCTGCAGAGGCCAGGAAGCCTCCAGCGTTCGACATCCCCCTCAAACCAGTGTCAGTGGAGGAGGGCGACAGACTCTCACTGCGCTGCCATGTGCGCGGCTCTGCTCCGCTAAAAATCCAGTGGATGAAAGATCGCAAGGACCTGGTGTCGTCTGGTAGCACCAAGATCACTTTCTCTGAGGGCACGGCCTGTCTTGACATAAGCCCTGTCTCTAGGCACGAAGCCGGAGACTATCTGTGCAAAGCCACCAATGAGGCGGGCAGCGACTTTACCAAAACCAAAGTCACAATCAAAGGTAACACTGGTGGTCCGGATTACATTGTGTGAAACTGGCTTTTAATGTTTTGAAAGTTGTATATTGATTTTTACAACCATTTATAGCCTGTATCTATTAATATGTTCATCAGTATTTTTTCTGAACACATTAGTCTACTCTGCTAACACACTGCAGGGTTCTCCATTTCTCCAGTGACACCTCTTCGCTGCCTGTCATGGTCCAAATGAATACAATTAATATGTTTGGGACGTGCTCTTGTCCCATTTGTTTTACAGACAAAGCAGGAGCTGCCCTTGCACCGGCTGAGACCCCTGCTGCACCTCAGTCCAAGAAACTGGATAACCTTTTCTTTGTGGAGGAACCGAAACCAGTCAACATTGTGGAGAGTACGTTCTACACAAATATGAAACAATATCTGTTCAAGTCAAAGTAAATTCAAAATCTTTTAAAAATAGCAACACAAAAATAAATATCAGGAGATTTTACAAGTTTCCTCTTGGTTTATGTTATAGACTTATTAACTTCAGTTGATCCTTTGAACATGCAGCATTATTGGTAAGGTTCATATGACCAACCATGGCATGTATTTTTTTCTAAAATTTAAACCCAACTCATAATTATACAATGTTCATTTAAGAAATAGGTCATGGGCCAATCCATGGACCCAGTTTTGGTTCAGTCCAAACATACAGTAACCAAAATAGTTTTGTTCAGAAAAACTACAAGATATCCAAACTTAGCTTGAGGTAAAGTAATTATTTTGTCAAAATAAATGCATTTGAAATTATCCTCAGATGCAACAACGATCTTCAAAAACTTTTATAAGGTCGGCCCCCAGGGAGCTATTCTTTTTTAAATCCGGGCTCCGACCAAAACCGATGTATTGGATTTAATTTAACAAATATAGTATATAGTAAGCAGATATGAATGTTTTCCCAACCCAGCCCTAATGGTCGTCACCATCGCACCATCCATACACAAAATCTTTTAAAGCATTCCTTCGTCCATCCATCCATCCATTTTCTTCCGCTTTATCCGTTGCCGGGTCGCGGGGGCAGCAGTCTAAGCAGAGACGCCCAGACTTCCCTATCCACACACACCTCCTCCAGCTCGTCCGGGGGGACCCCAAGGCGTTCCCAGGCCAGCTGAGAGACATAGTCTCTCCAGCGTGTCCTGGGTCTTCCCCGGGGCCTCCTCCCGGTGGGACGTGCCCGGAACACCTCCCCAGGAAGGCGTCCAGGAGGCATCCTGAACAGATGCCCGAGCCACCTCAACTGGTTCCTCTCGACGTGGAGAAGCAGCGGCTCTACTCCGAGCTCCTCCCGTGTGACCGAGCTCCTCACCCTATCTCTAAGGGAGCGCCCAGCCACTCTGCGGAGGAAGCTCATTTCGACCGCTTGTATCCGCGATCTCGTTCTTTCGGTCATTACCCAAAGCTCATGACCATAGGTGAGGGAGGGCACGAAGATTGACCGGTAAATCGAGAGCTTCGCCTTTCGGCTCAGCTCCCTCTTTACCACAACGGTCCGATACAGCGACCGCATCACTGCGCACGCTGCACCGATCCGCCTGTCAATCTCACGCTCCATCCTCCCCTCACTCGTGAACAAGACCCCGAGATACTTGAACTCCTCCACTTGAGGAAGGACCTCTCCACCCGCCTGAAGAGGGCAAGGCACCTTTTTCCGGTCGAGCACCATGGCCTCGGATTTGGAGGTGCTGATTCTCATCCCAGCCGCTTTGCACTCGGCTGCAAACCGTCCCAGTGCATGCTGCAGGTCCTGGTTCGTTGGAGCCAGCAGGACGACATCATCCGCAAAAAGTAGAGATGAAATCCTGTGGTTCCCGAACCGGACCCCCTCCGGCCCCTGGCTGCGCCTAGAAATTCTGTCCATAAATACAGTGAACAGAACCGGTGACAAAGGGCAGCCTTGGCGGAGGCCAACATGCACCGGGAACAGGTCTGACTTACTGCCGGCAATGCGAACACAGCTCTGACTCCGGTCATACAGGGACCGGACGGCCCTCAGCAGAGGACCCCGGACCCCGTACTCCCGGAGGACCCCCCAAAGGACAACCCGGGGAACACGGTCGAACGCCTTCTCCAAATCCACAAAGCACATGTGGACAGGTTGGGCGAACTCCCATGAACCCTCGAGTATCCGATGGAGAGTATAGAGCTGGTCCAGTGTTCCGCGACCTGGACGAAAACCACACTGCTCCTCCTGAATCCGAGATTCGACCATCGGACGTAGCCTCCTCTCCAGTACCTTGGAGTAGACCTTACCGGGGAGGCTGAGGAGTGTGATCCCACGATAATTGGAACACACCCTCCGGTCCCCCTTCTTGTAGAGAGGGACCACCACCCCGGTCTGCCACTCCATTGGTACCGCCCCCGATCGCCACGCGATGCTGCAGAGACGTGTCAGCCAAGACAGTCCTACAACATCCAGAGACTTTAGATAGTCAGGACGGATCTCATCCACTCCCGGCGCCTTGCCACCATGGAGGCTGCCAACCACCTTGGTGACCTCGGCCAGGGAGATGTAAGTATCCGCCCCAACATCCTCAGCCTCTGCCTCCTGGACGGAGGACGTGACGGGGGGATTGAGGAGAACCTCGAAGTATTCCTTCCACCGCCCGACAATATCCCCAGTCGAGGTCAGCAGCCCTCCACCCGCACCATACACGGTGTTGGCAAAGAACTGCTTCCCCCTCCTGAGGCGCCGGACGGTTTGCCAGAACCTCTTCGAGGCCGACCGATAGTCATGCTCCATGGACTCTCCGAACTCCTCCCAGACCCGGGTTTTTGCCTCTGCAACAGCCCGGGCCGCGGCACGTTTGGCCTGCCGGTACTGGACAGCTGCCTCAGGAGTCCCACGAACCATCATTGCTCGATAGGACTCCTTCTTCAGCGGCATCCCTTACTGCCGGTGTCCACCACCGGGTTCGGGGATTGCCGCCGGGACCAGCACCAGAGACCTTGCGACCACAGCTACGAGCCGCCGCATTGGCGATAGAGGAAGAGAACATGGTCCACTCGGACTCGATGTCCCCCTCCTCTGCCGGGACCTGGGAGAAGCTCTCCCGGAGGTGTGAGTTGAAAGTCCGTCTGACAGGGGGCTCAGCAAGACGTTCCCAGCAAACCCTCACTACACGCTTGGGCCTGCCAGGTCTGTCCGGCCTCCTGCCCTGCCAGCGGATCCAACTCACAACCAGGTGATGATCGGTTGACAGCTCCGCCCCTCTCTTCACCCGAGTGTCCGAGACACGCGGTCGAAGGTCAGATGATACGACAACAAAGTTGATCATCGACCTCCGGCCTAGGGTGTCATGGTGCCACGTGCACTGATGGACACCCTTGTGCTCGAACATGGTGTTCGTGATGGACAAACTGTGACTGGCACAGAAGTCCAACAACTGAACACCGCTCGGGTTCAGATCAGGGGGGCCGTTCTTCCCGATCACCCCTCTCCAAGTGTCACTGGCATTTCCCACATGGGCGTTGAAGTCCCCCAGGAGAATAACGGAGTCCCCGGGTGGTGCACTGTCCAGTACCCCTCCCAAGGACTCCAAGAAGGCCGGGTACTCTGCACTACCGTTAGGCCCGTAGGCCGTCACAACAGTGAGAGACTTGTCCCCCACCCGGAGGCGGAGGGACGCGACCCTCTCATTCACCGGGGAGAACTCCAACACGTGGCGGCTGAGATGGGGGGCAATGAGTATGGCCACCCCAGCTCGCCGCCTCTCCCCGCGGGAAACACCAGAAAAGTGGAGCGTCCAACCCCTCTCAAGGAGTTGGGTTCCAGAGCCCAAGCTGTGTGTGGAGGTGAGGCCGACTATCTCTAGTCGGTATCGCTCAACCTCCCCCACAAGCTCGGGCTCCTTCCCCCCCAGTGAGGTGACGTTCCACGTCCCAAGAGCCAGATGTTGGGTGTGTGGACTGGGTCGTCGAGGTCTCCGCCTTCGACTGCTGCCCAGTCCTCTCTGCACCTCGCCACCACGGACCCCTCTGCAGGTGGTGGGCCCACAGGAGGGACTGCCCACGTCATCCCTTCGGGCTGAGCCCGGCCGGGCCCCGTGGGCTAAGGCCCGGCCACCAGGCGCTCGCTTGCGAGCCCCGACCCCAGGCCTGGCTCCAGGGTGGGGCCCCGGCTGCGCCATGCCGGGCGACGTCACGGTTCTCATTGTCGTGCTGTCCATGGTTGGCTTCGGACTGCTCTTTGTCTGACTCGTCACTTGAGACCTGTCTGCCATGGGAGACCCTACCAGGGGCATGAAGCCCCAGACAGCATAGCTCCCAGGATCATCCGAGTGCTCAAACTCCCCCACCACGTTAAGGTGGCAGTCCAAGGGGGGTCCTTCGTAAGTCTGAAAATTAAAGCTGGGGCACCAAACCGTTTTTCTTTCATCAATAATGTATATTGTTTGTTCCAACAAAATATACTTGTAAAAGTAAAATGTTGAAAACAAATCATACCACACCATGCTGTCTTCATCTTATAAAAGAATGAGATCTTTTACATACAGTACAACCCTCCTATGAGTCACTATTTGACACTTTTGGCTGAGTGAGGCCGGTCCTCTATTATATTTTTCTGTCTGAAAAAGCTTATATAAAGATGTGACAGACACCAGTAGTTACTAGAAACCAGAACTAGCTGCAGAGATGTTTAGTTCATCGTTAAATGTGTTTTGTGGTTTGAAGTTTAGTTATCCAGCTAAGTTTCAGTGAATTGTTCTATTTCTGAACTAACAGTTTGCCCCCTAATATGATAAAAATGTTTCAAACTAATTTTCAACATTTGCGTAACAACATGCCTCAACATTTGCCTTTATTAGAATACTAACATAGATGATCTCCTGATGTTTCAGAGGGCACTGCCACCTTCATTGCCAAGGTGGGCGGCGACCCCATTCCCAACGTCAAATGGATGAAGGGCAAGTGGAGGCAGCTGACCACCGGTGGCCGCATCTGCATCGAGCAGAAGGGAGAGGTGTCCAAGCTGGAGATTCGCGAGGTGACCAAGTCCGACTCGGGCCAGTACCGCTGCGTGGCCGCCAACAAGCACGGAGAGATTGAGGCCAGCGCTGACATGAAGGTGGAGGAGAAGAAGGAGAGCGCAGTACTGGAGGGAGACCTCAGAGCCAAACTCAAAAAGTAAGAATCCATTCTGCGTTTGAGTCACTATTTGTCTTTTTGGGCTGAGAGCTGTTTGGCTGAGTCAGCATGGTCCTCTATTTCTCACTTTTCTGTCTGAAAAAGTTGATCTAAAGATGTAGCAGGCCAAAAATAGATGAATGTGAAAACTACCAAACAGTTTTGAGAGTGAGGAACTAGTTAGATGATTGTATTACCATACAAAGTTCAAATGTTTGGGGTTTCAAAGTTAGGTATCCCAGCTTTAGGATACCAATCTTAGATGCTTGACTTGACCATAGATCGTGAGATACTGCAATCACTCATGTATGGGATCTGAATCTGTATCAACCTTTCGTTAGGCACTTGTGCTCTCTCTAGTGGCACAAGTGACACTTACAACCATCTCTATGCTATATATTCTGTTCCAGTTAACCAGGGAATGTTTTTTTTTTCATTCTGCATTTAATAACAGTCGATCAGTTAACCTGTCAAAATACTATGGATTATGCAATATTCTACTGATGTCAATAATAATGACACACTATCTATATTTGTAGAACGCCTTCTAAACAGAAGAGTCCAAAAGAGGAGAAAGACATTGACATTGTTGAACTCCTGAGGAACGTAGATCCCAAAGAATATGAGAAATATGCCAGAATGTATGGCATCACAGACTACAGAGGGCTGCTCCAGGCGATGGAGCAGCTCAAGAAGGAGAAAGGAGAGGAAAGTGTTAAACCGGTAAGACAAAGAATTTGTTTTTTATTACCCTCACCCAAATCCATGTCTTGATGAATGAAAAAAGTACTAATATTTTTTGTTTACAGGAAATTGAACGTGGAGACAGAGAGTCGGACGAGGACATGGCGAAACTAGTGGCTGACCTGCAAAAAAGGATGGAGAGAACTGAGGTATGAAATTACTCTTTTATTTCTATTTCTATGGTATTTTCAAGATTGATGTTGTAAAGAGTGTCTTCCAAATTAAGAACATTGAAAATTGAGATAGTTAATTGGCCTAATCTAAATATCATAAAAACAAATCTAAATCTAAATATCATAAGAACAAATCAAATCAACTAAAACAGATTCATCTGATTTCTTTCCAGCCTGTGACAGTGGCGAAGGATGTCTCGGACCAGTTTGTATTTGCTAACAAAGAAGCTGTGTTCGAATGTGAGATCAAGATCAACTACCCAGAGATCACCCTGTCCTGGTACAAGGGCACGCAGAAGCTGGACACCAACGACAAGTACGACATCAGCATCCAGGGCGACCGCCACCTGCTCAAGATCAAGAATTGCCAGTCATCTGACCAGGGCAACTACCGCGTTGTGTGCGGGCCCCACATCTCCAGTGCCAAGCTCACAGTTTCCGGTCAGTATTGTAGCTTAGTCAATGGGGCTATATGCACGGGGAGGCGTGACATCATTTCCATTAAACAAAGAACAGCTTGTTTACTTCCTGTCTATGTTATTGCTATCACATTGTGGTGAGTATAGTGACGTTTTTTTTGTAATTAGATTGGTACATTCAGCTGTGAGACTGACCCAAAAGTGTCGACGTGCTTTTTCTCTGAGGAATAGCTTTGACTGTGGCCTCTCAGAGAGATTAACATTATAAAAGCACAATGACAGCACAATCAAAGAGCACTATTGTGTCCCAAAAATGCCCAGCATCCTCCTAGTTTAATTCCTGTTTGAGCATTATTTAGGAAAGTAGTGGAAGTCAAGTGGTGTTACAACTAAAATGCGGAAGTGGTGCGTGCATAGCGCCAGTTAAAAATATTACACTTTATTTGTATAGCCCAATTATTATAGACAAACAGTTTCATGCATTTAGACAAATTTACAGTACAGGTCTTATTTACTGATTACTGATGTACAGGTCGGCCATTTTTTTCGTATACTTAAATAAGGAATATATATAATAAATATAGCTATGAATCTATTATAAATACACTGTGTAAAACATAAAATGTTAAGGTTTTCTAAATAACTACTGTAGTTATTTTGTAAATAACTACTGTTAATTCAACTATTGAATTGAATTTAAATAATACATAAAAAGATAAAAATGTGTAAGATGTTCCCAACTCCCATATTTTATATTACTTTGCATCACACCATTGTCAACAACAACTAGAATTAAGGTTTTGATGCTTTGAGGATGCAGCATTCTGATTTTTACAACATATCTGTTTGGGGTAAGACAGATTTCACAATATTAATAGAAAGTCCTCTATAATCATGTTTATATTATTATATTGTACCTAACCTTATTCACTTAAAGGACACGTTCAGCTTGCTCCAACTGAAAAGGTCTTAAAACGAATGATGTTGTGAACAAATCAGACCAGAACGTGTTGCCTCCATCTTATTATAAAATATTCTCTTTTTCTTTCTTTCTCTATCTTGTAAGAAAAAGCTAAGTTGAGGGTTGTCCACTTTTTCCCTTTTCTGAAAAAAAAAGTTTTCAGAAGTTTTCTCTGAGGACTTTACATACCATCAAATTTACCAACACAGATCAGAGAATCAAACAGTTCAAAGACACAAATGCATTGATAAAAACACATGGAACCATTGGTGGCAGATGACCAATGTCCATAAATGTTAATAAAGTCATCACCACTGTCCTTCGACCCTCCTGCATCGGCAAAGAAAAAAGTGCATGAGCGCAAAGAACTAGTCACATGGCTCTTGTTGCACTGTTCAAGTTATTGGGGTTTGAAAATTAGGTACCCCAGCTTTACAGAAGAAAATAAGATAAGATAAGATAAGATAAACCTTTATTAGTCTCATAGTGGAGAAATTTCAGTGTCATCGTTGCACATTACAGCAGAGAAAGGAAATAAGAGCACTCAGATTGCACACATCAAAGTCTATTATTTAAGATAATAGACAATAAATTTAAGATAAAATAAAATAAAATAAGAAACTGGGCTATAATTGCACTTGGTTCGGAGTATTTACAGATGTCTATATTATACATTAGCAGCGGAGAATATGAGAATATGAGCAGAATAAACATCAGAAATAATATCAACAGGTAAAGTGACTTGAATGGGAGAATTATCAGATGGATATGAATAATACAGTAAGATATCAACAGGTAAAGTGACGGTGAAAGGCAGAATTATCAGATATGAAATAATACAGTAGTACTTATAACAGTAAATATCAGATATGTAGTACTGTAGTAGTACTGATAACAGGTAAAGTGACTAGTGACAAAGTTACTAGTGAATTATCAGAAACACTTGTGCAGACTCACACTTGTGCAGACAAATAACCTCACTACCTGCTGTACAAACCAGTTTCCCCTTTTTTGTCTTGCAGAGGCAGAAGTGGAGAAGCACCTGCAAGACACCTCGGGTAAGAAAGGCCAGTCGTGTGCGCTGTCTTGTCAGTTGTCCATCCCGAACGCTCAGGCGCAGTGGTATAAAAATGGCCAGCAGTTAGAGTTGAGAGGCAGGTACAGGTCGGAGGTGGAGCACAAGGTTCAGAAGCTCCTCATCTCTGACCTCAAGCCCGAGGACCAAGGCCGCTACTCCTGCCGCTATCAGAACCTGGAGTCCTCCGCTGAGCTCTGGGTGGAAGGTTGGTACCCAGAACACCGCCGCCGGAAACAAAACACGCCTCCTGGATGCCACTTTCCACTAACCTCTTCCGACTTTTCAAACAAACAAATACGACTAACGATCAAGATGTGGATTTCACTCTTTTTTTGACCGTTTTAGGCATTTCTATGCCTTTGTCTTAACCGTGTTGTTGGATGAAGTCTTTCAAACATCAAATTCATCGTCTCATCTGTCGCCTTCTTACATCAAATCATTGCATTTCCATACTCTCAACAGCAGTAACGGCCTTCGTGAGTGTCCATTTCTAACACGGCCCAGTCTCAGGAAAATATCAGACTCTGAATGAAGGAGGAGACAGGATTATTATGATGTAGCCTGACAAGAATGTTTGTATTTTATCTTGAAAATACAATTGTACAGTACTTTACATCCAGAGAACACTTATTGTGCTCTTTTCTGCTAGATAATCTATTACTAACATTTATTTGTATTGTATTTTTAGAACATTGCAAATCCTAAGCACTCAAACTCTTAAAAAAATAAATAAAATTGAGTGTGTAAACCAAAAGAGGATACAATTACACCATGGCATATTACTTAATGTCTTGTTTAGGTCCTCAAGATCAGGATCAAAACAAGATTTGAATAAATATATATAAAAGACCTCTTTCTGTATTTGATTTCAGTTCTGTATTTGATTTCAGATGTAACTTGATATCGCCCCCAAAGTACTTCCTTAATGACATGCATATAAACAAACAAAATCCAAATTAATATTGAATTATTAGTTTGATTGATTATGTTATTATTGCTGGTTAAAGATCTGGTAGATCCACGAGTGGCCTTGGAGACTGGGCTGTCCTAACCATTTTGATGTGCCATTTACCATTGCACTCCCGTTGTGTCCATCACCTCCCGCCCCGTGCCACAGTGCCAGCACTCACACCTGTGTATCTGTTTTAGCTGAACAAATTCATTTCACCAAACGCATCCACAACGTCGAGGTGAACGAACGCCAGTCTGCCACGTTCGAGTGCGAGGTCTCCTTCGACAATGCAATCGTTTCGTGGTACAAAGACACATGGGAGCTGAAAGAATGCCAGAAATACAACTTCCGCAGCGAGGGCCGAAGACATTTCATGGTCATTCGAAATGTGACCCTCGAAGACGAAGGTGTGTAGAGCGGAACTGACCCCTTAAAAAAGCCCAGCTGATTTTTTCAAGTTTTTTTGTTGGAATCGTTTCTTAATGGCGTGTCTTCATTACTAATCCCATGTAGGCGTATACTCAGTGATTGTGAGGTTGGAGCCCAGAGGAGAGGCTAAGAGCACAGCTGAACTTTATTTGTCTGGCAAAGGTACAGTTTCTTGTCAGACGCTACTTTTCTGCTTGTTCAATTCTCTCTTCTTTTTTGGCTTTTGTAACGCCATCTTCATTCTTTCCCCCTCACAGAGATTGAAATAGCAATGATTCCTCTCGGTAAGTTGTCTATCTTGGCCCGTCACAATTATAATCATATATCTAAAACTCCATTGTTCATATATCTTCATCAAAATTGGGAAAATGAAACATATTTCATATTCTATAGATATCCCAGACTCATCAGTTCAGAGGCCTGAAGTGCCTTCCTCTGTTGCAATTCAAGGTAAGACCTAGGAGTGTGTAAGAAACTAAAACCAGACTAAATCTTTTGCTGACTTAAATAACCAAAACAGAACTAATTAAAGTGCAGTGAGTATGAGGTAACCTGTTTATGACCAAAGTTTTGTATTGTCTTTTAAGAATCTGTTGAATTCTATCAATACGAAGAGCAAAGGAAACAGAGAGGTACTAACAATCAGGTTTTAATCATCAACAATTTAAACAAAAGTAGTTTTACTTTTACTTTGTGTCTATTATTTGAACATAACGTCTTTCTTTAGTACAAGAGTCAGCAGAGTTTTCATATCACTATGAGGAGAATGTGGAGCAGAGAGGTAATCTTTGCCAATGTAACATTTCCATCAGCAAAAAAACTCACATCCTACTAGAATTATCTTCATTGTCATCTTAATCTGAAATCAAACCAGAAAAGTAACCCAAGCTCAGCCCAAATAACTTCTAACATCTTCATCATCTTCATCTTAACCTTTGAATTCACCGGACATTGCATTCTTGAGAGTTCTTCATCTTGGATCATTTAACCACCAACTCCATTTTTCTGCTTCTTCTTCATTTGCACACTTACTATTTGCAAGTTTGCCCTCTCATTTATCAAAAATCACTCACGGATGTTCCTTCAATTTCAAAACCTCTATATGAGATGGCAAGCTTGAGACGCTGGCTTGATTGGCATAGTACGCAACGTATTTGCCTCACTTGTGGTGTCACCTTTGTTTTTGTCACATCTTCAGTTGCTGTTGAAAGCTGGAAAGAGGAATCTATAACACAGCAAGTTATTGAAGCTCAAGGTATATGAGCAATAGGATATGTACAGTAAAAATGTGTACTCATTTTTGTTTGTTTGTTTGTTTGTATGTACACTCATTTAAATGTTTCTTTTTGACATCTTAAGAACATTTCTAGGTGCCTGCTAGCCCAGATTTTTATCATGATCATTCAGATTAGATTTAGTAAAGAATCGCATGTTTGTCTGTTTCTCCCTCAGCTTCCAGAGTTGCCATTGAGGAAACAGTTGAATCTACCAAAATGGAATCCAGGGAGCAAATCTCCACCAAAGGTACTCGCTGAGCAAATATGTCACATCGCTTACGCAGCTTACTGCTCTGTCTTTACAACCATCTTAATCATTCATCCTCTACTACTAAAATCAACTGCTTTGTAACCCCTCTTGGTAATGCCATCTGGCTGTACTTCAATCTACTTTTGTTCTATCTTGACCTTTTGCTGAGCCACTGTGCTTTTGCAAATGCTTTCTTGGATTGCTATGAGAACATGTCATGTACTGTATATTAACATAATCAGTGTCTTTTAAAGATGAGAAACCCGAAGAAAAGCCCAAGGCAGCTGTCAAGGAGCCCTCACCCGCTAGAGGTACCAGCATAAATATTATGTTGTACCTCAGCCACATTTACATGTTTTTAAACTTATTTATTGCACATTTAGTAACACCCAAAAAGCCAGTGGAGGAAAAAGTGGCAGTAGTTTCCCTTCCAGAGAAAAAAGAGGTTCCAGTTGTGAAAGGTAGAACTCTTCCAAATATGCTGTATTTTTTGTCTCACTTATCTCATCTTTTGTGAAAAAATCATCATAACATGGACATGCAGTTTGTGGTGTTCCTCTGTGGTCACGTGTATTAATGCATGTGATGTATCTTACAAAAGAACCAGAAGAAGTTAAGAAAACAGCTCCTCCTTCCCAAGTCAAGCCTGAAGTTCCAACCGAAGGTATATCACTCTGTTTGCTACCATGATGCTTCTGCCGCAGAATAGAGCTATTTCCAGTGTCTTCGCTCCTAACCTCTTGTGTCTTTGCGTTTGGGAGCACATGGCAGCCCTCACTAGTAACTGACATGCAGTAATGCCTTTTAGAGTTTTGCCATAATAATTGCAAAGCCTATGCAAAATGGCATGTTAATTCTTTATTTTGTTTGTTTGTTCAAACTTTCTAAAGGTTTTCAGTCCACCATGACTTGCTTGTATTTCAGCAAGCAGAGTAACATTTGCATGATTAACTTCACGCAGCTGCTGAAAGCAAAATGCAGCCATACACTGTTTTATCGTAATTCTCACAAAATTAACATTCTTTTCTGTGTCTTGCGATAACTTTCGCAACCGCTTCTTAATCTTTATTTCATAATCTTATGTCTTATTGATGTGTGTCCATTACTTGAACCAGTGCCAGAGCCAAAGCCTGAAGCCAGGCCCAAACCAGAGGCTGCTCCAATGACCAAACCTGCTTCTAAAGTGGAACCTGAGCCCGAAGCTAAACCTCTGAAGAAACCAGTGTCTCCACCAACTAAAGGTACTCTTGTCCTGTCTTTGTATTTACAAAGTCTAATTGTTGTCTACATGTCGTTCTCAGCTTCAAATGTTGAAGCGCATCTTAGCACTGTCATTCCTACTTCTTTATTCTTGTTTCTTAATGAATATAACTGTCCTTTTAAGTCGGGGAAGAGGTGAAAGAGAAGCCTGAAGAAAAGAAGAAGATTGCAAAGCCAGAACCTCCCACAGCTAAGCCAAAGGACCCAGAAATGCCAAAGGAAGAGGCGCGTCAACCAGAGCCAGTGGTGAAGAAGCCAGAAGAGAAGAAACCTGAGGTGAAGAAGCCGGAAGAGAAGAAACCTGAGGTGAAGAAGCCGGAAGAGAAGAAACCTGAGGTGAAGAAGCCAGAAGAGATGAAACCTGAGGTGAAGAAGCCGGAGATGAAACCCCAGAAGCCAGAACCCCAAACTGAGCCAGCTCCAAAGGATGCTCCGAAGGAAGTTCCAAAGAAAGGTATTAAGCAGCTTTGGAGTTTTATCCTAATCCTAACTCCAGCTCGCATACATGCTCTTGAGTTATTCTTATAACCCAATATTGTAATCTTGAATGTCTACTAATCTCTTAAATATTTTTACCTGTATGAGAATCATACAGCGCATTATTTGACATAGGCCTTTTTTTTTTAAAGTGCCTCAAGCACCAGCACAAAAGGAGGTGTCAGCTCCTTCTCCACCTCCTTCTCTGCCACAAAAGGTGGAGAAGCTAGAAATACCTCAGAAGAAAAACCCAGTGCCAGATCAAGGTATCTTCGAGATGTCGCTTGACTCCATCTTACAAAACACCAGATGTAACCATCTTTAGGTTTAGCTAGTTGCTAACACATTATCTGTACTGTCTGTTACTTCATGTTGTTCTTACACATTCTTGCACTCGACAGAGTGTTTTTCTTTAAGATAATACTCTTAAGTTTAAATAATAAATATGGCATCCTCTTTTAAGTCCCGGTGGAGGAATCTGTCTCAGAACCTTCAAAAGTCAAGAAAGCAGAACCAATAATTGAACCACCAAAAGAAGAAAGCAGAAAGCAGGAGAAAGGTATCAGGGCATTATTTCCTCTAATACTGAACGTCAACATTTAATGTTGATATTCTTCTGGTTTTTTTTTACATGAGTGTTGATCTTAACATAATCTGTGGGATTTGTGTCTGTCATTATTATCACTTTGCTCAAGAGTCTTGTGCATGTTCCTTTGTTCAATTCTTAAAGCTCTCAAACCTAAACCTGTGTCGGAAGAGGCTCGGGATCAACCAAAGATTCCCCCTAAATTGGTTGCACCTGAGGCAATGGAAAAGTCACAAAAAGAACATCCAACCTCTGCAGTGCCTGAAGAGGTCAAACCAATACCATTTGACGAAGAGGTTCTGCCTGTACAAGTCCCTGAGGAGCCGGAGAAGAAAAAACCTGTGAAGATCGAGGAACCAAAACCAGCTGAACCTAAGCCTAAAGGTATCGCAGATGTCTATGCGTCATGGCTACATTATACGGTTATCAACAGGTTTTAGACCTATCTTTCTTCTAAAAAACAGACCAGTTCAAATTCTGTTCAACTAGTTCAAATTCTGATGAATGTGATAAAAAAAGGTGATAATCGATAAAGACATTTCTCAAAGAATTGCTTCTTTTAGCATAGATATTCTAACCTCTTTTCCTTAATGCTTTGTCTTGAAATGCTAATAATCTTGATTTTCTTTTTTTTCAACAACTCTTTCTTGAAAAAACAAACAAAAAACGATAAAAGAATTTGAGAGTGTGAAGACTCAGGGGTCTCCAGAACAAGAACTAAAAGGTACAGCTTAATTGAAAGGTGTTTCTATTTGGGAAAAATGCTGGATTTGTATGATAACCTGTTTTATTGTGTGTCCTCTAACACTTGTGTCTGTCTATCTTTCTGTAACTTCTTGGCGCCGCCACATGACGCCTTCTTCTTAAAAATACAAAGCTACAAGCCTTGTCAAGATCGAGCAAAAGAAAGGCCCTCAGAAGATTCAAGATGTCTATTACGTAACAGAGAAAATGTCCACCACAGAAGTAGTTTGGGAACATGAAGATGTAGTGAAAGAACAGGCTAAAATGCTTTACCAAGATGAGGTCGCACTTTTAGATAAAACATCGCTCTTACTATCGGAGGTCGACATTTCGTTCTCCTCAGAAAAGGACAAAAAGTCACAGCTGAAAGGTGAGATATCTGTTACTGACTCAAAGAAAGAATTACAAGTAGTGAAAAAGAAGTTGGCTTCGGATATTGCCACTGTTAAAGAGGCAGTGGAGGAGCAGTCATTTGTAAAAAGAATAGAGAAACCAGTCCAAGATATTTCAGATGAGCGCTCCGATATGGGTTTTACTGTCCAACAGAAGCTTGTTAAAAAAGAGGCACAAATGATCACAAAGACCAAAAAAGGAGATGAAATGGCCATTGAACTGGACATAAAAGCTTCACCACAGGATACATTTGAGGATAAATCTTCATTGGAGAGAAGTAGAGATAAATCAGAAACTACACAAGTTAGTCTAGAAGCCAACTACCAACGTGAATCTGAAGAGTGGCAAGTTGAGAAGCAAGCGGTTTGTGAAGTCAGTTTTGATGTTGAACTAGGCCAAACAGAGCTAGATGTTGGTGTAACTGACATGATTTCACAAACACAAATGACAATAGAATCTAGAGAGGTCAGAGTTAAGGATGATGGAGAAAATAAAATAATTGAAACTAAAGAGAAGGTGGTACAAGAAGTTAAGCAACAAAAGGAAAATAAGCAAGTGGAGCCAGATAAAAGGCTTGCAGATAAAACCAAAATAGACATCCAACAAAAAACTGTTAAAATAGCTAAAAAAGAGGAAATGATTAAACCTCAAGAGATAACCAAAGAAAAAACACAGTTAGCAATAGATACTTCCGTTAAAGCCATTCCAAAAAAGGAATCTCTATCTCTAAAGGATGACAAATATTCAATTTCAGTTGAAAAAGAGCCAGAAATAATACAACCAAATGAAGTTACAATGATTACAAGTGTGGAAATGGCTGTTGAGGATGAACGGACAAAGGTCACAACACTTGATTTTTCTGAAAGGATAAAAGAGAAAGAACATCAAGAAGAAACACATAAAATACAATCCCAACCAGTTAAACCGAAGGAGCCCGATGTTGCGCCAAAACCTGAAATAGTTTTAGAGAGTAAAGGACAGAAAATTACAACACAGATTGAAAAACCAAATGAGAAAAAACAATTAAAGGAAGCTGGTCAAGTTGAGAAAAAATCACAATTGACTAAACAGGAAGTCACTTTGAACACTGAGGTTGTAGAAAAACCAAAAGAGTCAGTAGCAGATGCCGAGCCCAAAGCCAAAACCATTGAACAGAAGACAACTTTGACGATTCACACAGAAAGTAAAAAGAAAGACGAACCAGTTCTGAAGAGGAAAAGCGAGGACTCAACTCTTTTGATAAAGTCGACAGCTGAAGAAAAGAATATAACTGCTTTAAAAGGTACATCAAAGAACATCTGGAAATCAGTGTCACAGAGGATTTGGTTTTCTCATCAGAATTCTGTCTGGATCATTTTCATTCTTTTCCATTTGTTGCCATGTTTTGGCAAACTCTTTTTTCAATGCCAAACCTCATCTGACATCCAACCCCATATTCAATCATCTTCCACCTGCCTCATTTCATGTTCATTGTGTCTGCTTATGCAGCCTTGTGGCTTATTTTTTGTGCCTTAAAATGTCACCCTCTTTCTTTGTACTTTTGTATTGAAGTCAAACTCTTTCCCCCCCCCCCCCATTTTAAGAAGCAGACTTAAAGACAAAGAAGATTCCCATACCCCCAGTTCTTGAACCACAAGTTGAAACTCAGCAGAAAGGTACAACAACAACAAAATAACTCTTACAGTATTGTGCTCATGTACTCGTTGGTTTACAGTAACTGCAAATGTTGTTTTTTTCCCTCCTTTTTTCTTGACATCGATTTATGGTGCTCTTTCATTTGATACACACTTTTAGCTGTGCCAATAACAAAGAAACAGCCCCAAAATGTTACTGCTGATAATGACATACTTTTGGGAAAAATAACCAAACAGCCCGAGGAATTAACATTAGTTGAAATCCTCAGAAATCTTCATAAGCAGATTTTAGAAAGTGGTGGAAAATCTGATACTGAGAGGCTTGAGACTGAGGGTCAACTTATTCCAGAACAGGCAGCAACAAGAAAAGAGATGCAGAACTGGGCGGTTCAAGATACCATTGTAGATGTGAAATTAGCAACAAAAGAAAATACACTTTCTGAACCAGCAACAAGGAAAACCAGGACAAAACTTCCTATAACTGAATCACAAAATAGCACGTTAAAGAAACAAGCTTTCAAAGGTAGGCGGCAGACAGCCATTGAACATGATGAATATTCTGAACCAGACCAACAACCAAACACTGAAATGATTACTGTTGAAAAGGATAGATTACATGTTATCAAAGTAGAAAACGTGTCATTCAAAGCTACGCCACTCAAACACACTGATGAATCAGAGGAAGTTACCAGAAATATATCGGGAATACGTGAGGAAAAATTACCATTGAAAGAAGCAGAAGTAAAAAAACAATCCAAAGTTCAACCTATTATTGAATATGAGAAGAAACATTACAAAGCAGAAATACCAGAAGTGCTACAAATAACTACTGGTAAACAGGACCAGTCCTTTTCCGCTTTCGAGGAAGTGGGACAAATGGCTAAAACAAGCGAGCCAGAGACTATTGACAGTACAGCTGCTCAAGTTTTAAACACAAGAGAAGACAGAAAACCAATGGTGACAAATCTGAAACAGGCTAAAACCGTCACAGTAAAACATGAATATAGCTACGCTGTACCCATCGCAGATACCAAGGAAGAACTTCAAAGAAAAGAAATGGAAAAAGGTCAAGAAGTTTCAACTGTTTTTGAACCAGAACGAGGGAAGGAATTGTATGCAGAGGCTGGAGGGCGTCAACACGTTGTATCGGACTCAGAAGTACGTGAAAGCAAAGACAAGAATATTATTGAAAAAAGTGTGAAATCCAAAGACCAAAAAGCGCCAGTATTTAAGATGGCAGAAATCCAATCAAAAACTGCAACAATTGAGCATGAATATGGCCCAGAAATGCCCTTAGACACATCAGACTCATATGAACAGGTTAAGAAGAGAGAAATTCAAGTCATAGAGGTTGCATCAGATTTCCATGAAGTAGATAAAGACACTTCTCAAAACTCTTTAAAAATAGAAAAAACATGTGAAGACATTGCATCTAAAAGAGATTTATCTAAAGGTTCAAAACTATCTAAAGCAAAAGATGGAACAACTAGGGCATCTGCTGAAAAATTGCATGTGAAAAAGGAGGAAATTGATTTGATAGATGAGAAATTTCCAACAAAAATAGAAGTCATTGAAAGAAAGGCTATTGTTGCATCGGAGCCTGAAGTAACCCACAAAACTTCTTTAATGGAGCGAGAAGCATTTGAAAAGGCATTAACGACTGAACAATCTTCAGATGTTGCTTCGAAGGATGTAAAAATCAGACAGAAAGCTATGGAAATAAACAAAGAAGTCAAAGATGTCCAGACTATGGAAATTAAATCTACACCGGGTGAAATGTCGCAGCGATCCAAGACAGCTACAGTTGATGATGAGTATGATTCAGTTTCTCTTTTAGACACAACATTGGAAGATGCTGAAAAAGTCTTGCTTTCTCTTGCACCAGAGGTTACAAGAAAATCTACACAAAAACCTCCCAAAGAAAGAACTAAACATGACGTAATTCAATATAATACAGAGAAAGAGAAACAATTATTTGAACAGGAATATTCTAATGTTCAGGATCATCAAACTAAATCATCTGAAAAGGTGTCACTGATTCAAAAATCTAAAATAGGAACAGAAATAAGAGGCAAAGACACCAACATTACAAAAGTACAGATTAAGCAACCTGCAAAGGGTACAAAGGAAATTCAATCAAAAATGGTCGTAGTTCATGATGAGCATGCTTCAGTTACACCTCTGGACACGGAATTTGAAATAGTTGCCAAAAATGTTTGTGCTAAAAAATCCCAAATATTTGGAGATTCTAGAGAATCAAATAAGACTGAAGAAAAAAATGTAAGAATAGAGAATGAAAATGTTTTAAAACCTTCGCCCGAAGATTTGAAAACCAGTCGAGTGTCTGGGGGGAAAACGGGACCAGTCAAAGCAATCCAGTCCAAAACAGTCGCAATACATGATAAATATGATTCAGTGACTCCTTTGAAATCAACTGATGCCCAAGTTGAAAGAGAAAATGCTACAACTTCAGAAATGTATGTTCCAATCCAGAAGACCCAAAAAGCCAAAACTGAAAATGCAAAGTTGGAGGCTGAACTAAGTAGTACGGAACAAGAAAAACACACTGAAAAAAATTCAGAAACCAAATGTAAGAAAAATGAGCGTGAGCAT